TAACCCCACCCCCCCAACCCCCCTGCCCCCATCAACCCTCAGTTTGTTTTGTGAGATTAAGAGTCACTTATGGTTTTTCTCCCTCCCAATCCCATCTTGTTTCATTTACTCTTCTCCTACCCCCTTAACACCCCATGTTGCATCTCCTCTCCCTCATATCAGGGAGATCATATGATAGTTGTCTTTCTCCGATTGACTTATTTCGCTAAGCATGATACCCTCTAGTTCCATCCACGTCGTCGCAAATGGCAAGATTTCATTTCTTTTGATGGCTGCATAGTATTCCATTGTGTATATATACCACATCTTCTTTATCCATTCGTCTGTTGATGGACATCTAGGTTCTTTCCATAGTTTGGCTATTGTAGACATTGCTGCTGTAAACATTCAGGTGCACGTGCCCCTTTGGATCACTACGTTTGTATCTTTAGGGTAAATACCCAGCAGTGCAATTGCTGGGTCATAGGGTAGTTCTATTTTCAACATTTTGAGGAACCTCCATGCTGAAAAAACAGACTTTTAACTATAGAGAGCAAACTGATGGTTGTGAGAGGGAGGTGGGTGGGGGAAGGGGTGAAATGGGTGATGGGGATTAAGAGTATACTTATGATTATTTTTTTGAAGATTTATTTTGAGAGAGAGCAAGAACAAGCAAGAGAGAAGGAGTGAGGGGAGTGGGGAGGGGCAGAGGGAGAGGGAGAGGGAGAGAGAGAATCTTGAGCAGACTGTGCTGAGTGTGGAGCTGGTTTCGGAGCTCGATCCCACAACTGTGAGATCACAACCTCAGCTGAAACTGAATTGGATGCTCCACCTGACACTGCCACCCAGTTGCCCCGAGAACACCTAATCCTGATGAGTACTGAGTAATGTACAGAGTATTTGAATCACTATATTGTATGCCTGAAATTAATATATCACCATATGTTAACTAAACTGGAATTAAAATTAAAATATAAAGTAAAATTGACAAATGAGTCTTTTCACATAAAGTTGGAAAGCTTTTCAAAGGGCAGCTGCTCTGTCACAATCTCAAATAAATAAAATCTTTAAAAACAAGAGAGAAAAGAAAATGGGATGCCTGAGTGGCTCAGTCAGTTAAGTGTCTGACTTTGGCCAGGTCATGATCTCGGGGTCCTGGGATGGAGCCCTGTGTGGGGCTCCCTGCTCAGTGGGGAGTCTGCTTGTTCCTCTCCCTCTGTCCCTCTCTCTGTCTCTCCCTCTGTCCCTCCCCCTGCTCATGTTCTCTCATTCTCTCAAATAAATAAAATCTTCAAAGGGCTGCTTCCTGTGCTGGGTGAGCCTGCAGGCAGGGCTTTTTTTCTTTTCTTTTTTTTTTTTTAAAGATTATTTATTTTGAGCGGGAGAGAAAGGATGGAGAGAATCTCAAGCAGAGTTGCTCTTGGGCAGAGTGCTCAGCCCACAGTGGGGCTCAGTCTCATGACCCTGAGATCATGACTTGAGTTGAAATCAAGAGTCAGATGCTTGAATGACTGAGCCACCCACGCACTCCTGCACACAGCTGTTGCAGAGCCATTTCTGTTTGACAAAGCCCTGTCGATCTTGTGGGCATGAGCTCCATTTGTCTCCAAAGCCTCTTGTTTTAGGTTTCTCTTGGGTGCTGGTCTTAAATGTTGGCATGCCTAATGTGGGGTACAAAACCTTCAATACTCAGGGACTAGCTGTGGGTTTTGAGTTTCCTCCCAAATGTGGGTTGCCATGCTGGGGATGGGAGGGTTTATGGTGAGTTTGTGTCTCAGCTTTCCTACCTGCTTTGATGTTTACCTCTCATTTGCTTGATGTGAAGTGGTTGCTCAGCCAGTTTCTAGATTTTTTTTTCCCCCAGAGGAAATTGTTCCATATACAGCTGTAATTTCAATGTGTCTATGGGAGGAGGCAGATGCAGGACCTCCCTACATTTGCCATCTTGAGTCAAAATCTGAACAGAAAAGAGTTTTATGAGAAAACACACTGGGAGTGTTTACAGTACTTACTCTAGTGGCAAATTTTAGGCTTAGAGATAATGTTTGCTTCTTCTCATTTTTGTCTTGTCTGCCGTGTGATATTTGTTTGATAAGGTAAGCAAATAGAACAGAATTTGCATTTGTTTCCTGGTTCAGAGACCATTTTGATACTCAGTTTTGGCAGTTTTAGAACATTCCTAGGCTTGTTGGAGGTCAGATTTATTCATTGGGCTTTTTTATTTTACATTTGAATTTTGGAGTAAGGGAAAATATTAACACAGGATAAATGTAGTGTTCAACAAATTATTGGGCCTTCTTTGCTTATTTTAAATTTCCACTCAGAAGTTTGAAGAGGTAAAATCTAGGAATGTTAAAATCTCTTCAATTAATTCTGCTTCCTTTCCCAACTTATCTTCAACTGAGAGATCATTTATTCTGAGACATAGTCAACATAATGAAATTGCAGTGCACTGAACTAATGAGAAAATCTTAAGAGGTCTATTTCAGTGATCAAGCACAGTGGCCTATTGGAATGAAAAATCCTCAAATAAAGTCAACATCTAATTTTTTAAAAGTAAAATCTAAACCTCTCTTTAATCACTGTCTTATTTTTTATCTTTTTCATGTCAGCTTTATCTGCAAAGTAAAATTATTGCTTTTACTCTTTAGCATCTTTAAATATATATATGGGCAGAGAGAGATGGGGCATGTTTAATAGGGATCTAACCTAAAGGACACTACAGATAATTGTATGACCTCTCCTTGACAATTATTTGTTGTTATATGGGAAAAATTTTACTTAAATAAATGAATCATCGTAATTTGAGTACTTTGAGCTATTTAGTGTCAATAAATGGAGAGAGTAAGTCTTGATAATGAAAGGTCAAACTTTAAAGTCTCCACTTTACGCAGACTGATTTTTCATAGAAATATTTTGTGGTGATGTATTCTTCCTGGATTGTCTCCCTTTCTTCTTTGGCCATGGAAATATTGCTTGGTTTTCATGTTTTTTTTTTTTTTTATTTTCTTAAGATTTATAAATGTGTTTACCCTAAAATTCCTATTTGGATCTGTATAAAGTTCACAGAAGTAAATGTGAAGAAGAAGTATTTCAGAAGTAGAGCTAATATTTTTTAGGGAACATAAAATGCTTAGAATTAAACAGATTGGTTAGTTTATATTAGTTGTTGGTAAATTTGCTTAAATTGTTTAGAATATTAAATTTGGTATTTTGATTTGAATGTAGTGAGAAGGGACCAAGAAATGGGCAAGACACAGAAATGATCATACAACATGATAAATAGTTAATATAGAAGTCATTATAATTATGTCAAGATAAATTTTTTAACTATGCTATAAAATAGGGAAATGAGCAGACTTTGGCTATGTTGAAACTGATGGGTAGAATCTGTTCCCTTTTAAGGCTCTGAGAACTTGTCCTTCCATTTGAAGCCTAAATCACATCTCTTCATGTCTTCTACATGGCCTGAGTTCCTCAGTTGGTATAACTAGTTTTTTTTTCTGTTTTACTACATGTTGCTTTTATTTCTATCTCTCTCTCTCTCTCTTTTTTTTTTTTTTTGGATTCTCTTTACTACTTTGCCTCGCGTTAGAGTTAGTGGTATGGTAGGAAGAGCACAAACACTGTAGTAAAAACCTGGTTTATACTCTCTGAGTCCCAGTGTACTCACTTGTAGATTGGGGAGAGAAATAAGATTACATTGGAAAGCACAAAGTACCTGGCACTGAGCAGGCACTCAATAAGTGTCAGTGTCTTTCCCATTTCTGAGTTCCATGTGTAGTTCCTTCATAGTTTTTAAGTTCCTTTAGGGCAGAAAATATGTTTTATATTCATAGTACCTTGTGCATAGTAGGTTCTAAAAGATTATTTGTTGAATTTAATTTACTGTAGCGCTGTGGAAGCTTAGCACTGTTATTTTCCATTTCTTTTTCCTCTGTCACCTTGGATTGAGATAAACATGTTGCTTTCATGAAATTGAACATTTAATTCAGTAGAATGCCATTATAATATGACTTATCCCACAGAGTTTGAATAGTAAGGTCAAATCATTTCCCTGGAAACTTAATATTCTATAAAATCTTATTAGCCTGTCTCATAGCATCATAGTCCGTGGAATTCTGGTGTGTTTAAAATGGTGAAGTCTCTCTCTGTAGAAATCTGTCTAAATGCACACAGTGAGAATATGGGAGGTAAATGACATGGAGAGAGAGCAAATGCAAATGTCATTGCAGGTGACATTACTTGACATTTTCAATCACTGATCTTCCAAAGTATGTTCTAATTTACTAAAATAAACCAAGAATTGAATATCTTGTGATCTCCCTTTGCTTAATTAATTATTAGCAGCAGAACAACATTCTGTGATCCACTGCAATTTGTCTCCTTTGTGTTTATCTAGTATCTGACTTAAAAATGAACAGAAGCATTCTGATTCAGCAGAACTGATGATAACTCATCTGCATTATAGAGCAGAAATGAATAAACGTTTGCTGAACGTGCTACATATGCTTCGATTACAAAAATGTTGGTTTTCTTTCCTTCTCAAAATATAAGATCTGAGAGATCTTCCTGGCTGAAGTTTGTGGGGTGCTGATTTTGCATAGATATTTCTATAGAGACAAACAGCTACCTTTATATATATTTGTTTCTGTGATTGGAATGTGAGAGCTCTCTTAGAACTTCCTCATTATGATTTGAAATAATACATTCATCACAATTTTTTTCATTAGAAGTAACAGTATATGCTAAAACAGTTTCTTTTTTAAATGCAGTATGCTCTTTTGTTAGAATGAGGATTAAACATGCTTCCCATTCATGCAGTAATGTTGGTTATACTTATGATACAGTTTCTAATTCTTTGCAATCATTTCATTGAAGGACAATTGGCATGTGTTCACTCTGGATTATGAATGAGACAAACTGAGGCTCAGTCTGGACTATTTCTCTGTTTCAGCTAGATAGGCATTTGAGAAAAATGTACTGCTATCCTAATGATTTACTTTTGTTTTCAATTTCAGTTTCAAAGAACATTTGAGTCTCTAAAAAATGTTTCCAATAAATCTGACCTCCAGAAAACCTACCAGAAGCTTGGAAAGGAGCTGGAAAATCTGGATTATTTAGCCTTCAAACGTCAGCAGGTAGGAGTCAGAACTCTCCCTGGTGGAGGAGATGAACACTTTATGCTTTCTGCCATTCTGCCTGTCAGGTTTAAGTGGATCTAGGGAGACTTATCTTCTAATGTTTAGGGCAGAAATAGGTTGTGCTGTGCTGTGCTGACCTGCTGCGTTCATATGGCTTCCTGAAGCATTCACTGTGGTCCTTGCTTTTAGATGTGCAGTTTGGGGGTTTCCGCATGTGTCCTTATACCTCCCTTAAAGAAAACTCCTGCTGGTTTGTGAACCTATAACTACCCTTTGACTAAGGATGCCTCAGTGTCATAAAAGAAACCTCTGTGATGGCTTGGCCAGATGGCTTTTATATATAATAGGGGGATACTTGAGGAGAAAAATCACCTGATGACCAGAAAAAGGATATAGATGTATGTACAAAATTAAGGGAAAGAATCATGAATATGCCAAAGCATGAATCTACCTTTAGTTTTCTTGTTTGATCTCTGAAGATTAGTGGAATTTTACTAAATGTGTAAGGGGGAAGGAAAATATACTTTACAAATGCAAAGCTTTTAGCCTCCTTGTATAGACCTCCAAATAAATACAGAACCAAAATAGATTTTTATAAAGTTGCTTTCAGAATTAGTATTAAAAAATATTAGTAATCACTAAATTTGATGTATTTGTGAGATGCTGCCACAGTAACTAGCTAATTTTCCCAAGCTGATCCTCACCAATTTCCTCAGAGCCACTAGGTGTCAGGGTTGTCAAGCTTTTACTGATTGAATGTTCATTCCGATCAGAACAGCCAGATAGACGTTTAAATTAGGTTGCATGAAATTCGGGAATGTGTTCAATGATGGATAGTGTCTAGAAAAATGACTAAGGGGCTGACTCGCATGGCCAAGCACCGAGTCCATTTTTTAAGTCTTTCGTGTTAGTATGGCAAAGGTGTGACTCTCTTGTGATTGCCTGATTCACAGATTTTGGATCTTTTGGATGAAGTTTTCAAAGCTGGGCTTCTTTTTTTCTTTAGTTCACCTTATGAAATCACTGTAGTATGGTCTGAAAGTATTGACTTGAAAAGGGAATTGTGTTTTAGGTTTTGCTTTATCACTGACATTACATGGGCATTTAGCCTTCCTATTGCCCTATTTTCCTGAGAGTTTCTTTTATTTTGTAGAATGTTGTGGGGTATGTACTTTAATGTAAGTACTCTGCATGTACTTTAATTTATATGAAAAAGGACACAATATCCATTTAAGTTTTATTTACTTATTTTAAAATTAGTGATGGCTTACATATTAATTAGCTCATGTAAAGGAAGTGGGTCACAGTTACACAGAGCTACTACAGGAATCTCCCAGATGGTGCTGCTTTAAATTCACTGTAAGTCACTGGCCTATGCAATTTTTAGAACAGTTTTGTTTCCAAGAGCCATATTTTATCACTGAGGGATATTTGAGTTGGCAGGCAATAATCACTGTCCTCTTCTCTCATCCTTTCTTATTAGCACATTTTCATTGATTAGATTCTTGCATTAGCTAATCGTGAATTTGGAAAAATGTGAATGCTTCAAGGGTAGAAGGGCAAGACTTTGCCTGAATGAAGGACAGATAAGTAAATTGTATGTATGTATGTGTGTTTGAGGAAAAGATGGGCACATGGTGTGTAAATGTATGTACACTTATGCATATGTAAATCATATATACGTTTATTAAATGGCAACTGTATGCCACATATTGCGATTAGTAAATTTATGGATCAGATCATGAAATGTTTATAACAGTGCAATGGGGATGGTTTTATGAGCACCATTGTAAGGTGAGAAAACTGTTAAGAGTTAAGTAACTTGTCTAAGGTCACTGGGCTAATAAGACATAAAGCTGGGCTTTAAATCTAAATCAGTCTGACTCTAGACCTGCGCGTTTTCCAGGTCTCATTCCCAGTACCTTGCAGGGAGGCAGGCTGGAGGATAGGAAGGTGAGGAGGCCTAGGCGTGCAGTATGAAGACAGTTTTAGGGATGCCAGACCCAGGGCTTAAAGAGATCTTTGAAAGTGGGTACCTGGTGAGAGGCAAAACAGGGTGGGTTCTCTCTCCACTTCTCTTTCTCTCATGCAGATTTTTAGTATATATGAAAACACAAAACAATTTTTGAAATAATGTCTTTAGACAGCTAAGAAAACGCATAAAACTTTATCTTCACAATCTTCTGAGTTTTATATGTAGTAACCATGGTTCTAGTGAAATTTATTCACACAAGGCAGTGTCTTAAACTCAAAGGGATGAATCCTTATGTAATGAACTTAACTGCACACATAACATACTGTCAATCCTTTTGTATTACATAACTCCAGCTCTCCTTATATCTAATGATCATTTTTTTCGATTTGGAAAGAATGGAAGGGGAATTGAGGGAAGTGGAAAGAGGATGATAGAGTAGAAAGTCAGGGACCAAAGACTGATGGAAAAGAGGGAAAGGAACTTGTAGGGATATGATAAGAGGGATCAAATGAGGGAAATTAAACTGTACTTGGTTTTATACTGTGTACCTAGAACTCTTCATTTTATTATTCCCCAGTCTGACTCCCTGAAGAGATATTAAGAATGAGACCTGGGAAAATAGTATAGTAAAAGAAAACATTGATTTTTGAAGAATTTAAAAAATTTTTCAAAATAGAAAAATAGGGAGGAAAAAAGAGAGGAATACAAGAAGACATGGCAAATGAGGGAGATGGCAGAGAATAGCAAAGACAAATTTTGTTTACCTCCCATTTTGTTTCCAAATGTAGCAGAGCTTCCTAGGAATTTGTAGTATTAACCAAGTTCTGTACCAAAGCCACAAATGAATTGTTAGGAATTAGTTTGGGCAGGGTTCAGAGAGTCAAAACAACATCAACTCTTCTCTGACTTGATGGGATTTGCCTTTTATCTCCAATCCTATGCCTTAAAAGGCCTCCAAACCTTTTAAACACACACAACTAGGTTTCTTCTGCTGGAAAAGATTCAGGTTTCTGTAAAATTGCAATTCAGCAAGAAAGATTCTGCCTTATAAGGCAGGATTCTTTGTACCAGAGGTTAGTCATGGTTTGTTCCCCGGTCTAACCATATTTATCATTCCTCCTTGTGACAGCACGTAGCTGCATAAGGACAGAGCCTCGTCTGTCACCTTCAATGCTGTATTCTCTGCAGTGTTCACAACAGTATCTGACCCATGGCGAATGCTCAATAAATACTTGTTGGTGCTCTTGTTACTAAGAACAAAGAAGCATACCTGAAGTTTTGGTTTCAGATTACAGGCAATTAGTATTGATGTATTTTACTATACTTTTAAAATTCAGAAGGGCATTAACCCTTTGGCTCCTGGTTAGCCCTTTGGCTTATTTATTATTTAGGTTCTCTCCTAACATTAATAATTTTCCAATCATTTCTTTAAATAAACACAAAATGTTAATGTTACCTTAACTGTGAATTATGGATGAGCAGTGGATTGATTATAGTTATTTTCTTGGACTCATTCATTAGATTTTATTTTCTGTCCCTCCCTATGACATTTTAAACATCATTCTCAGAGATTCCCCCCCCCCGACCCCCCCGACCCCCCTCCCATCAACCCCCCCACCCCCGGGCCAGAAAGATCCTGGGAGTACTTTGCTCTAGTCTTTTACCTTTCTTTTTTGGAATTATTGTACTTCTTCTCCTAAGTATGCATTTAGCTATTTCTTTTCTTTCTTTCTTTTTTTTTTTTTTTTTTTTTTTTAAGAGTGAGTGCTTATACTTCAGTTCCTTGGGCTGTATTTTAAGTTGGGGCACAAGCATCTCTCCATTTTCCTACTGTCAAAAAGACTAATGTTGAAAATAGCTTCGGTTGGAAAAGGTGAGAGGAGGAGGCCCTGATAGATGAAGTGACGGGTTTACCAGGATGAATCAGCTTGAAGTAACCAGATGACAAAGCAAGATTAGCCTGAGAATCTGGAGCCTTTTTCAGTTTTTACTATCTGGAGATGCATTCTTGGAGTTTATCTGCTTTGACTGGTTTTTATCTTCCTGGTTAATGTTACATAGGAATGGCAATAATAAGCTTCAGTTATTATATAGAGCCCAGATTTGTGTATTAATTTGAGAGGTTATAAATCAAGAAATTTCCTTGGGGCTTTGGTTTTGTGGAATAAAATAAAATAAAGTTTGATTTTCTGTACTCGAATTTAATTCCCTCTTCTCTTTTCTACCCTTAATACTTATAATAGCATTATAAGACATATCCCCTTCCCAGAGGTTTCTGAAGTCCTTTGGTATAAATTAAAGTTGACATTACTGAGTTGAACATTATGAAGACTGAAGTACATTTACACAGTGATGTGAAAATATGCAAAATTAAAATCCTGTACTTCAGATACATATCCATGTTGGAACACATTACATACCCCTGCTCTCCCTCTTGTCTCCCTAAATATGCCATGCTATTTTGGCCTTCTGCTCTTTTCACGAGGTTTATAAAACTTGGTATTTAGAGTATACAGACCTTTTCTATTTGCTTATTTAATTGCTAATCATTCTTTAACGCAAAAGTGAAGTCTAGCCTCCCTCATGGCACTTTATCCTATGACCTTTAGTCAATATGTAAACTCTTCCTTCTTTGTCATTTTTAGCTTTTAACCATGTCATACAATTTAGCATCTTATTGCTTATACACTTACTCTTCAATAAGCTCAAGTTAGAGTATGGCTTTGTAGTCAGCCAGATCTAGTTAGACTGTTTGTACCACCTTGGGCACCACAGTTCTTTTTTTTAAAAATTTTTAAAAATAACACCTAACTTATGGCCTGTTTTAAGAAAACAGCATGTAAAACGTAAAGTACATAAATGCTTTAAATCCTTTAAAGTACATAGAGGAATCAGTATATAAAGGACTTAGCACCATGCCTGACATGTGGTTAGTATAAGTGACAGTTATTATGATGTTGTTTTATATTATTCTCATAAGTCATCTTCCATAATGGTAAGTTTCAGAAGAATATACTCTCTA